GTAGGAGGGGGAGGAGGAGCAGGAGGAGGAGAACGAGGAGAACGAGGAGGACGAGGAGAAGGAGGAGGAAGAGGAGGAGGAGGAAAGGGAGGAGGAGGAGGAGGAGGAGGAGGAGGAGGAGGAGGAGGAGGGGGAGGAGGAGGAGGAGGAAGGGCTCCCCGCGCGCGGGCGGCGACGACTTCTGGAGCCCTCTCCGCGGCAGGGCATGGCCGCCGAGCCGAGGCACTCGGACGCAGCAACGGCCCACCGCCTCGCCCGCAGCACCTGCACCCGCTGGACGACGGCGCCCCCTCTACGGCCACATTCGGCCGATGCGACGACGGCGACGACGACGACGACGACGACGACGACGACGGGACGACGAAGACGATCACATCCAGACGACGACGCCCCCGTCTTCGGCCCCGGGACAACGACGAGGCCGGGACAGGCACTTAAAAGCGGACCGGGACAGCTCGGGGACCTCTGAGAGGCAACGGCCCTGGCGGATGCGTCGGGCGCCGCGGCCGTTCCAGAGCGCTCCGAGGGCCGTTCTGGAACGCTCTGGGCCGAGCCATCCCTGCCCCGGGCCCGACCGGCCAGCTCCCGCCTCGCTCACGCTCACCGCACCAGCGCCTGCCAGACGACGCCCTCTCTGCAGGCACAGGTCGGCCGCGGCGGGCCGCGGGACAGCACCCTCACCGCGCAGCGGCTCCCGCCTCGCTCACCCCACTGGCCCGGCGGAACTCCTGTCATGGCGGCGCCAGCACAGGCTCTTGCCACCGCGCGAACCGTTCGGTCTCGGGCAGACTCCTGGCAGGGCTTGCTGGAGGGCAGCCGCGGGCCTTCACTGCTGAACGCCCGCGCCCGCGCTGCCGCCACGACGACTCGGCATGAACCCACATTTATCTCTGCCGAAGTACAACGGGGACGCGCATTGAGAGTCCGACTACAGTTGGACGCCAGGGTGTCCTGAGATTCTCAGGTTCAGCAAAGCTCGCCACGAGAACCCCACTCGAGGAACAACACGCGGCATAACCATAAACTATCGGAGCTCCGCGAGGATTTCTTGGATCCTAGACCCCCCCTCTGGCGCGCTGTCGCTGGACGCGCCGCCATGGGGGTACACCGCCGATCCAAGAAATCCGCGCGGAGCTCCGAAAAAGTATGCGAGAGCAATTGCTTCACCTCCGACACATGGCACGACAGACCGTGAATCCGTCGAAGCCTTGGGCCCCAGGGTCTGGGATGATTGTGGTCGGTCCCTGTGGCCGGAATCCTACCTGCACTTTTTCTTCGGCGGCGAGGCAGAGGCAATCCAGTCCACACCAGCGTGGGGCTAATCGGGGCAACCGAAATGCGAATTGCCCGGCGTGCAAGAGGAAGGAAAGAATGATGGGCCTGTTTTCCACCACCACCACCATAAGTTGGAGGGGGGGAGGAGGAAGAGCAGGAGGAGGAGGAGGAGGACCACCTCCCCCTCCAACTTATGGTGGTGGTGGTGGTGGGAAACAGGCCCATCAACGAAGACGAGGGCGGCTGCGCGGCGGGAGGAGGAGGGGGTGGAGCGCTCAGGCGTGGAAGAGTCAAGTCCTACCTGCACATCCGAGGCCTCGGACGAGAGGACCTCGGCGATGAAGAGGAGTTCGACCAGAGCACAGAATCGAATCGATAAGTCGAATCGGAGATCGGAATGAATCGGATGGGGGGAAATCGGCAGCCGAGCTGGGAAAAGCCGAATCGGTACTCCAACTCCCTTATTAAGCGGCCCCCGGGGCCGGTATTTTAAGGCGCCATTTTCCGAAGGGGGGAGGCCAGAATATCAAGGCGATTTCGCGTGACCGAAGCGAAGGGGGGGCCGTAGAATTATGGCGCTTTTTGAATGGCCATTTTGGACAAGAGGTTTGAAATCGACTTTCAAGATGGCACCTAACAAGCTGAACATCTGTTTCAAGACAGCACTCGACGGCGATCATGAAGACGGTCGTGATCTCAATTGCGAACGTGAAATGTACCATCGTGGTGTTCATCGTATTGATCATGATTGTTGTCGACGTCGCACCGGCAGAGTTCTGATCACCACTGCAGTCACCACTGTGTAACCACAACCCCATCATGTCCACCAACTTAACTGCAACGATCAACTTTCCCAGAAAGGGGGCCGGAATATTAAGGCGCCTCCCGTGGAGGGGGGCCCGGGGTATTAGTGTGCCTAAGCAGGAGGGAATAAGGGATTTGGAGTAGACATCGGCAGGCTAGTGGGCCTCCATTGAGAAATCGGAGCCCAAATCGGAATCAGAAATCGAACCGAATCGGAATCGGAGGCCATCGACATCGAATCGAATCGAATCGGAGGAGTAGGAACGAGCCCTGTCAGACGCGGAAAGCAAAGTCCTGCCTGCACATCCCGAGGCCTTGGACGAGAAGACCTCGACGACGAAGAGGAGCTCGACCCTGGATGGGGCAGCAACCGCCCGCCCGCGGGCGAGCAGAGCCCTCTGAGGAGCTGGCGGGGGCCAAACAAGTTGTTTTCCGGCGGCGGGGGGAGGAGGAGGAGGACGAGGAGGAAGGAGGAGGAGGAGAGGAGGAGGGGGAGGAGGAGGAGGGAGGAGGGAGGAGGGAGGGAGGAGGGGGGGAGGAGGGGGGAGGGGGGAGGGGGGAGGGGGGAGGGAGGAGGGAGGAGGGGGGAGGGAGGAGGAGGAGGCAGGAGGCAGCCCGCTATCCAGCGTGTGGCTCCTCGGGGCAAGCGAAAAAAGCGAGCTGCCCGGCGTGCAGAGAGGAGATGGAGAGGACACGAGGGCGTCGAGGGGGCCAGCACAGAAGAACTGCTCCCTCGTCCAAGACGGGTGCACGGTTTCCCCCGGGGCCGTAGGCGACCCGAGGAGGAGGAGGAGGAGGAGGAGGACGACGACGACGAGGAGGAGTCGCCTGAGCCCTTCGGAGAGACCCTCCAAAGACGGGATGGCAACTTCCTCCTCCATGACTGCCCCCCCCCAAACCCCCCCACCCCGACCCCCTGGGCGTCGCCACAGGAAAAACGCAACGGTCATGTTGCGCGGTCTCGACCTCCCACCCGCTCTTCGGCAACCCAGGCCGTCAGAGACCGCCCGCGGCGAGAAGCTGGCCCGTGTGGGGGGGGGGTCGAGAGCTCCTCGGGCCCGCGCCGCGAAAAAAGAGCGCCGCTGAAGGTTTGGCGTGTCCCCCCGCACGCCGTTCTCCCCCCCGATCCCCCCCCCCTGGCCGCCCCTTCCGAGTCCTCCCGCCCATAGCTTCGAGTCTGTCCACCGCGAGCCATCACCGACGTCACCATCCCCCCAGCTCGAACAGACCAACAGGTCCTCCCTGCGGGAAGAAGAGGCAGTGATACGTAGAGAGAGAGAGAGAGAGGCAGCCGAAGAGCATCCCAATTGTCCGGTCTCTTGAAAGGTAATACGGGGTCGCTCGTCTACCAACGCCTCGGTAACATCAGCCGCGATGACGAGTGCGCCCGGGGGCCAAGACCTCAATTTTTTTTGTTGCCCGCGTGTCGCAGGCGCTGCCGTACCTCAGGTGTCGGCGGAATCCCAGACCGCCCGCATGGTCACCGTCACGCTGACGCCGCTCCTCGCGAGGACGTAGACGACGTGCCTCGCGTAGAGCAGACTGTGTCCCGCGGCGCTTCGCTCGGACCAGTCCCACTGGCGGCCGCGCAGGTCGAAGCTGGTGACCAGCAGGCACAACTTTGCCCACCATTCCTGCGCGGGCTCCAGCGGGCGAGCGCGCGCCCCGCGGGGGCCAACCCTGAGCATCTCCCACGGGTTCAGTCTGTGGAACGCCGCGACGTCCGAGACGTCCACGTCTCGCACGACTGGGCGCTTGAGCCTCATGGCACCGCCAGCGCAGCAGGACAAGGGGCTGCCCACCAGGCGCTCGTGGAACTCCGCTATGGGGTCTCCCGCGGTCGCCTCGGCGGACAGCGCGAACCAGCCCTCGAAGCGCAGCTCCCGCAGGAGCCCCGGCAAGCCCTGCAGGCAGAGGCCCGCGGCGGCGACCCGCGCCGCGGCGAGCCACCGCCGGCACACCGCGCGCCTCCGCAGCAGGCCCACGGCGTCGACGTGACCGCTCAGCAGCACGGCCTGCTCCGCGCCCCCGGCCTCCAGAAGCCCCGGGCCCCGGCCCAGGGAGCTGGGCTTAAGTCGGGCGTGTCCTCCTACAGGGGGAGTGTGGATGAAAAATGAAACATATTCAAAAAATACACCCAAATGGTCAAAAAATGCTACAAACATCGTTCCCAACACTATGTTTGGACAATTTTTGAATTCTCCTCCTGTAGAGGGACGTGCCCGACTCAAAGCTGGGCACGGCGTGCGCCAGGCGCGCCGCGGACAGCCGCGCCAGCCAGGCGGGCAGGGCCGCCGCGGCCTCGTCGCCGATCTCCAGGCGCCCGCCGGGCCGCTCCTCGAAGCCCATGGCGCCGAGCAGGCCCAGGGCCTCCGGGAACAGCGTGCCCGCGAGCGCCCCGCTGGCTGCGCGGAGGCGGCGGAACTTCGGCTCGCCGGGCTGCCGCACCACGTTGCCGGCGATCTTGGCCAGCAGCTGCCTGGCGGCATCGAAGCGCTCCACGCTCACCGGCGCCCCGACGAACTGCTCCCACGCCATGGCAGCAGAGGAGGAGGAGGAGGAGGAGGAGGAGGAGGAGGAGGAGGAGGTGGAGCAGGAGCAGGAGCAGGAGCAGGAGGAGGAGCAGGAGGAGGAGGAGGAGGAGCAGGAGGAGGAGGAGCAGGAGGAGGAGGAGCAGGAGGAGGAGCAGGAGGAGGAGGAGCAGGAGCAGGAGGAGGAGCAGGAGGAGGAGGAGGCGGGGCGCTCGCGCCACGCGCCGCGCCCTGAGCCAAGGGGCTGCAGAGGGCCAAGACCTCCAAGGCAACGCGCGGCCGCAAAGATACCGCTCAATGCCACGGCAGCGACGGCCCAATGCGACCGCAGCCCGTTCGAACCGTATCTCGCGACCTCGTCATATCCTCCTCCTCATCCTCCTGAGTCCCCTCCTCCGCTCCAGGGATTCACTACGCATGACCCAAACGAAAACTCCCAGAACTATCCTCCGTCTCCCTCTTCCTCCCTCCCCTCTTTCTCCCTCCATCCCCAAAGCCTTCCTCCTCCGCCTCCTCCTCCCCCACTTCCCCGTTCCGCCATCCCCCCATTCCCTCATTCCACCCCCCCTTCTCCTCCGACGACGACGACAACGACGACGACGACAACGACGACGACGACGGCGACGACGACGACGGCGACAACGACGACGACGTCGACGACGACGACGGCGACGACCCCCTCCCGGCGAGCCTCCTCCAGCCCGACGCGGCTCTGCGCCAGGCGCCGGCCCATCTCCTCGCGCGGCGGGCCGCGCAAAGAGGCGGGCGCTGGCGCGCTCGGCCTATCCTGCGGACCTTGTTCCCCCCCCGGGCGGGAGGAGGAGGAGGAGGAGAAGGAGGAGGAGGAGGAGGAGGAGGAGGAGGAGGAGGAGAAGGGGGAGGAGGAGGAGGCGGAGGCGGAGGAGGAGGAGGAGAAGGATGAGGACGAAGATTCTGAGACGATGCGCTGCCGTAAGTAAGTCGGGCCGGGCGAAAGGGGGGGATAGCAAAGGGAGGGTTTGAGAATCGGCTCACGCAGCGGATTTTCCCAGCGCCTCCCGGCGCCGGGAGGCGGCCATGTGTCGAGGAATGGGCCCCTCGGCGGGGCTGCAACAGATTCCGTAATCCCCCCTTTCCCTATCCCCCTCTCTCGTCCGGCCCGAGATTCTGAGACGATGCGCTTCCGTAGCGGGTGGGTCCCCTGGTGGATGGCCTTGGCCGGGCATCCACCTCTGAGGGCCAAACGGCCCGCAGCGAACGACAGGGCGCTCCTGCGGTGGGCGCGATGCACCCGCGAGGAGCTCTGCTTCTGCTGTCACGGCATGGGTGCGGCGCACCGATTCCGTGACACGTGCACGGGCCCTGAGGTCCGTGGCACCCTTCCGTCGGCGCCTGCCGTGCTCCCTCTTATGGCCGGGGCACTTCGGTGGTGGCTTACGCCGCCGCTTGCGCCTCAGCAGAGCCTAGAGACCGCGGGAAGGGAGGGGAAGGAGATGCCGCCGTGCTCCTGCTCATGGCAAGGGCAGCTCGTTGGCAACTCACGCTGCAGTGAGCGTCTCGGCGCAATCTACGAAGCGGGAGAAAGGATGGGACGGGAGCGTTGCCGCGATCCTGCTCGTGGCCAGACAGCTCGGCGGCGGCGGGCGCCACAATGCGCGTCTCGGTGTGACCTAGAAGGAACGAGAAAACGATAGGACGGGAGGTGCTGCCGCTTTCCTGCTCATGGCAGGGGCAAATCGGTGGCGGTTTATGCCGCTGTGTTCGCCTCGGCGCACCCTTGAAGCACGAGCAAGGATGGGATGGGTGATGCTGCTGTGCGCCTGCTGATTGCAGGGGCAGCTCAATGTCGGCTCACACCGCCGTGTGCGCCTCGGCGTCACCTAGAGACAAAGCTGTATCCAAACGAGGCCGTCCCGAAAAGGCCCCAGACGTGAGTCCAGGGACCCTCCTGGGGGAGTCCAGGGCAAGCCCCTGGACTCTCAGAGGGGGTGGTCCCTGGACTCGCCTCGGGGCCGTTTTCTGCCGCTTCGTCTCGGGTCGCAGTCAGAGGGAGCAAAAGCCGTTGTCAGGCCGCCGACGGCGTCTTTCAAAGGCAGTCTTAGAGCAGTCTTGGGCGGTCTTCGGAGCCCCTTGGGCCGTCTCAGGGCAGTGCTCGGCCGTATTGGATCTGCTGGCCAAGACGGAAGGGGGAGGAGGAGGAGGAGGAGGAGGAGGAGGAGGAGGAGGAGGAGGAGGAGGAGGTCGAGGAAGACGAGGAGGACTACCTTGGGTGGGGTGCAGAAGGCGCAATGGTGGCCACAGTGACAGGGGATACTACCCCCCCCCTGGGAACCGAAACGGTGAAGGGGCCTCACCCCCGAAGAGCCGAAAGGAAGACGGGCAGCAGCCCAAGCATTGCCTCGTTGTCCCACTTGGGCCAGCCAGCACAGCCTGTTCCAGCCCCAGCTCATGCTCTTGCCCGCCGCACCTGGACGTTACAGTGTGCACTTACAGTCGGCAAGCCTGTACCCAAAACTCGTGGGGCTCGGAGGTTGTATGGTCTTGGAGGGGGGGAGGTCACACTAAGGAATACAAGCAGGCCGTGCCTTACCATCAAGCGTGCGCCTATTCTTTCTGCTCCGCTTCGCCGTTATTCTGTCTTACCCTCTTTTCCGTGGCGCCCGCCAGGTGTACGTGTTGTTTTGTCACCTCTTCGCGAAGTCGGTGGTCGGCATGCATTTGTTCAAACCGCACGCACGCAACAGGCTGTGCTCCTAATGTCTGCGCAACGCAAACAGGGACGAGACGGAGGAGGAAAAGGAGAGAGGAGCAAGCGAACAAAAAGGAGGAGGGGGAGGAGGAGGCAGGAGGACCCGGAGGGAAGCAGCAGGGCTGGGAGGATGGAGGGCTGGGGAGCAACGAAGGGGCCCTGGGACACACAAATAAATACACACAAGTCACCGGATTCTCCATATGTTCCCATATTTTCTGGATTTTTGTCTCCCCCCCCACTTCCAATATTTTCCAACCTTTTCTAGGGAATCGACGATTAATTGTGTCTGTGTGTGTTTTTGTTCCCTCCTGAAGGAAGTGGAGGGGGAGACGGACCAGAACGAACCCAGGACGCATCGGCGATGCTGTCACGCAGCCTCCAACCCCAAAGCCGCCACCGTGCCACTGTGCGAGGCGGGGACTTGTCCATATCCACCGCCCGCGAACCGACGTCCTGGCGCCCCAGCGGGCGGTGGACATGGACATCTCTCGGCCCCAGGGGGCCCGAATCAGATCCCCCGCCTGCCGAGCCTGCGAAAACGGACCCTCCGGGCGGTGGATGCGGATCAAGCCCCGCCTCGGACCCTGGGCACGGAGGGGGGGGGCGTTTCCTCGGTCGGGCCCTCTGCCGAATCCCTTCCGCACTCCCGAGGAGCTCCATGGAGCCCTGGAGCTCACCTTCTCCAACATGCCGAGGGCTTCTCGCGTGCCCCCCGGGGCGCCTCTCGTCTCGTCGCGCGACCCACTCGGGCCCATGGAGGGGCCCAGGACGGGCCAAGAGGGCCCCAAGAGGCGCCTGAGACGGCCCAAGCGAGCCCCAAGTCGCCGAACGGTCGCACCAAGACGCCCCAGATGGTCCCAGAACGGCACGAGAGTCATGTTGCTCCCATCGTACTCGAGGACCACATCCCAGAAAGAATTGCGAGCACCCGGAAAAGTGTCGAACGAGTGTCGACAGAGTGCCGAAAGCGTGTCGGACGAGTGCCTCCCGGGGCCCGACGCGTGGAAAAACCCTCGAGTTTGGGTACTTTTTTCTCCTGGCGCCCGAACCTCTTCCTGTAGAGGAAAAAAACTATACACATACACCGATTCTGGCCAGGCCCATCCTGAGCCCAGGATCGGTGCATACGCCCTCGTACCTTGGCCAGGAAGTCATATGCACCGATCCTGGGTCAAGGATGGGCCTTGCCAGGATCGGTGCATGTGCATAGTTCTCTTCGCCCGATCCTGGTGATCCGGGCGACAATGGGTAGCGACATCATACCAGAAGAGGCTTCCGCAGGACGCCCCACCGGCACCCTCGGCAGGCCCGCTCCCGGGCCCGGGGAGGAGCGCGTGCCGGCGACCCCTCGGCAGCAGCCCAATCGGTGGCGGGGCCGGGCGGGGCAGGAGTGTGAAGGGGCCCTGCAGGACACACGAATACAGACACACACAAATACATATACACAAATAGATACACACACGAATAAATTCACACAACATTTTCAAATATATTTTTGGGGTTTTTGTCTTCCCCCCCACTTCCCATATTTTGATCATATTCTCTGGGGGGTCGGCGATGGATTGCGTCTGTGTGCCTTTTCCCCTCCTGGACGAGGGGGGGGGTCTGGCGGGACGACCGGCCCCGAGGCGCTGCAACGGGGGGCACGCGGGGCCGGCCTGGGACGGCCCGCTGCCCCCCGCAGCTGGGAACTGTGCGGGGGTGGGGTTTGTGGGGCACGGCAAGCATGGAAGGGGCCCTGGGACACACCAATGAACACACACACAAATACAATGATTCCCCATCTTTTCCTGTATACATATATATATATATATAATCTGGGTTTTTGTCTTCCCGCCCAAGTCCCATATTTCCCCATATCTTCCTGGCACGCGGCGCTTCATTGTGTCTGTGTCTTTCTTTCCCTCCTGGAAGAAGGGAGGGGAACGGGCGTAGCAGAGGGTAAGAGAAAGGGGAACCAACAGACAAGGGGACACAACGCTGCGGCCACCAGCACCACTGACGGTTCTCCGCGGAAAGCATCCATATCTTACTTGTGGTTCGCCGTGGGCGAGCTCGTGGTCACGGAACCCAGGCCCACGTGGGGCACCGGGCAATGGGGAGCAGACCGCCGAACCAAGCAGGAGACGCCGGGCCGCAGGCAAGGCAACGGGGCCACGGGCAGCCGCGGACCCGCACGGGGCTGAGAGGAGCCGAGGACAGGGCCGGCGGCGGAAGGAGCCGCGAGGCGGAACAGTTACGTGACTTCGGCCTCGACGTTTCGAGCTCCGGACGCTCCCAGACGGCCCAAGAGGCTCCCGCAAGACCGCCCCAGGAGGGCTCCAAGATGGCCCCAGAGGCGCCCAAGACAGGCCAAGAGGGCCCAAGGACAGCCCAAAGAAGGACCCAAAAGGGAGAACACGAACCAACAATCCGAGTCTCCCGCCCCAAGAAAACCTTAGGAGGCCCCGAGGACGCCCCAAGAGCCCCCCAAGAGGCCCCAAGAGGCCCCCAAGAAACCCCGAAGACGCACCAAGAACCCCAAAAACGGCCCCAAAGAGGTCTCAACATGGCCACCAAGAAGCCCCCGAGAGGCATCCCGCGACATCCCAACGAACATGCTAGAGGCCTATGACCCACAACCCAGGCACGGTGGCGGGATGGGCCGAAGGCTATTCGATAACCTCTTGTCACAGTCCGCACAATAGTCACTCCTAATGCGTGGCGCATCGCACATCCGCTTGAAAAATGAACGCCCAACTGAGCCTGCAAATAAGGTTGGGACCCCGCTTCAAAAAAGAACTGCACTCGATCTGTGTGACTCTCAAAGCTGTGAGCATATCAAAGCAGAATTGTCAAGTGTCTAGAGAGAGCCCCATGTTGAAAAAGAACCGCCCTCCATTCACGCGACTGTTGCACACCTCAAGTTCCTGGTAGAAATTGAAGAAATGTCGAACGAGAACTCCATGTTGAATAGAACGCCCTCCATCAGCGTAAATACTGCGCCCTCCATCCGCGTAAAAAAACTACATTCCTTCTCAAACACGGCGCCAAAGCCAGCGCAACATTTTGAAAATCACCTCAAACCCATCTGCGTATATGGTATGTTTTGTAGCACGAATGCGCGGACGCTGACGAGATAGCAGGAAAGGACGAGGAGGATGAGGAAAAGGAGGACGCGGAGGGCGGGGAAGAGGGTCGTACGAAAAGGAGGAAAGAGGAGGAGGGGGGGAAAGGGGAGGACGAGGAGAAAGGAGTTGTGAGACGGGGTAGGGACGATGTCGGGCAGCTCTAGTTCTAGGGGGTTATCGGTGTCATCCTCCTCCTCCTCGTCTTCCTCCTCCTCCTCCTTCTTCTTCCTCCTTCTGCTCCTCCTGTTCATGCTTCTCCTTATTTTCCTCGTCCTCCTCCCCCACCTCCTTCTCCTCCTCCCCACCTTCCTCCCACCCATGGCCATCCCAAATCCAAGCCACATTTTGTCCTCCCTCCTCCCTATCCCCACTCTCCTCCCCTCTCTCCTCTACTCCAACGCCTACCCCTCCCCCAACCCATGTCTTCCCTTCTCCCCCGCCCACCCACCCGTTCAACGACTCCCTCACCCTCCCATTCACACCCCTCCTCATCCCCTCCCCAACACCTCCTCCATTATCATCACCCTTCAGAATTCATCCTGGGCGGTAAAACATCATTCCCTCTTTCTTATCACCCTCGGCATCCTCCTCCTACTCCTTGTCCTCTTCCCCCTCCTCCTCCTCCTCCTCCTCCTCATCATCATCATCATCATCACAATCACCACCACCACCACAACCACCACGGCCATTATCATCAGTATCATCATCATAAGCATCATCGTCATCACCAGCAGCATCAGCATCAGCATCATCAGCAACATCAGCATCAGCATCGTCATCATCAGCATCGTCATCATCAGCATCATCATCACACTCATCACAAGCATAATCATCCTCACCACCACCACGACCATAAACACCATAATCATCAATATTATCATCAGCATATCATCAGCATCATCATGAACATCCTGATCATCATCATCAGCAGCATATACAACATCAACGATACCACCAACATCATCAACATAATAATCACCCTCATCCTCAATGTCATCATCATCGACATCATGAGCATCACCATCATCAGCAATGTAATCATCATCAGCAGACTCATCAACAGAATCAGCATCGTCATCGTCATCGTCATGATCAGCATCATCATCAGCATCATCATCATCATTATCATCATCATTATCATCGCCATCGTCATTGTCAGTGCCATCGCCATCGCCGTCTTTGGTATCATCACCATCAGCATCAGTATGGTCGTCGTCGTCATCAGCACCCTCGTCCTCCTCATCACCAACAGCATCATCACCATCAGCAGCAGCATCACAACCATTGTCCATCACCAACACTAGCAATATCAGCATCACGCCATCCATCATCAACATCAACCGCAGCATCAGCATCATCACCACAATCATGTTCATCTTCATCCTCATCCTCATCATCACCACCAGCATCATCATCATAGTCAACGTCATCAGTACCACCACCACCAGTACCATCAGCACCACCGTCATCGCCATCAGCAACATCATCATCATCAGCATCAGTATCCGAGTAGTCAGTATCACCAACGGCATCATCATCATCAGCATCATCATCATCAGCATCGCCATCGTCATCGATATCATTAACAGCATCCTTTCCATCGCCATCACCATCGTCATCATCACCATCATCATTATTTGATCATCACCATCATCTTAGTCATGGTCATGGTCATGGTCGTCATCATCATCACCATCCTGTGAGTCCTCCTAGACGACGACGCCGACGGCCCACCCAACAGCCTTCAGCTCGGCGTCGGCGAGCCCCACGAGCGCGGATCTGAGGTCCTCCTCGGGGGAGACAGGCGTACAGGGATCGTGCAAGGCTGGGTGGGACTGGCGATCCAGGGTCGTCGTCGTCGTCGTCGTCGCCGTCGCGTCGTCGCCAGCGTCGTCGTTGCTGGCATCGCAGAAACACACTGGGGGGCAAGGAAAAGGAAAGAGGAGGGTGAGACGGAAGGGGAGGGTGGAGAGAGAAGTACAGTAGGGGCCCGACCAAAATATACCTTCCATAAGAAACCCAGTCCTGAGACCCTAGGACGTCCACAGATTTTTGGTGTGGGAACGTCACGCTTTCCATCGCAAAACCAACGAGACCCAAGAAACCCAGGGCACCCTGGAGGCAAGCAGGGTGTTTCTTGGCATGGGCCCCCACTGTAAGGGGAGAAGGAAGGGGAACATGAAGGAGGGAGCTGGAACACAGAGAGGAGGGAGAGTATGGAAGCGGGGTGGTCATCAGATGCCTACGAGGTCACCCTTCGGGCGAAAACGGTTGTGGGGGGTGCAACTTTCGGTTCGAGGGGCGTCGGAACGGGTTCACGATCCATCGATCTAACGAGCTTGATCATCATCGATATTCCTCCTTATCGGCCTCGCTGTCTATCCACTGATACCAACGCGAAAGTACCAATCGGACTCACTATCTCTGTCTGTCCATGGGTACCCGCATGCATATGCTGCAGATCTCCATCAGCAAAGCCACTTAACGCAATGCGGACATGCAGAGCAACGCAAAGCAACACAAAGCAAGGCAAAACAAGGCAACGCAGTATCAAGCAATGCAAACGACACACTTCAGAACAGGACCAAGCCGTGCAGAACAATGCCAAGCCATGCACGGCAGCGCAACGCAGAGCAGCACGACGCAGTGCGAAGCAATCTGTAGGCGGCGAGTCGGGGGGGAAGTGAGAAGGGGCGTACCTTCTCAGAAGGTTCAGAAGTCCCCTGGACTTCTGAGAAGTTTTCTAAGCCTTCCCCGAAGACAGAAAAAACTTCTCAGAAGGCGCGAGGGCTTCTGAGAAGTCCCGCCGCCTTCTGAGAAGGCCTTCTCCTTCTCAATTCCCCCCCTCGCTCGCCGCCGAATCTGTGCCGTGCAGTCGAACGGCGACGACGAGCGGCGACGGGGCGGCGACGGCCGTAACGTAGCCGCCAGGCAGGCACGCAGGCCCAGACGCCGGGCGGCGACGAGGCGACGGCGGGGCGGCGGCGGCGGCAACCTGGCCGCCGTACGGCCACTCGGGGCCAGTGCCGGTCCCTGTTCCAGAAGTAAGAGCCCCTAAGTAAGTTGGGGAATTCATACGCGCACACACACATACACATGTGTATATGTATATTTACATACATACATACATACATACATACATACATACATACATACATACATACATACATACAAACATACATACATACATACATACATACATACATACATACATACATACATACATACATACATACATTTATACATACATACATACATACATACATACATACATACATACATACATACATACATACATATATATATATATATATATATAGAAATATGCAAGGCTGCAATGGCGCTTCGCGTCATGCACCCCTGGTCCTCGAGGCTCTGCATATGTTGGTGGTACGCGCCATCCCTAGTGAGTGGCCTTGGAAATTTGGCCACTTCCCTGCGGTGGTTTTCAGAAGTCTTCGAACGTTCGGGCGGTTCCTGGCCCTTCCCGGGCCTCTGGGGGCTCTCGAAAGGCGCCGGGTGGAGGGCGAAGGTTAGGAGGGAGGTAATCTCGGGGAGCGAGGAAAGGAAGCGGATGTGGGGGAGGATGAGTGGTGGAGCGGCAGAACGAAGAGGATGAGGAGGAGGAGCAGGATGAGGAGGAGGGCGCCGTCGGGGGACGGCGAAGAATGCTGCAGCGGGTTGTAGCGTGTCGCAAAGGGGCACGCGAACGTGAATAATTCTTAGGGAATGCACCCAACCACGGGTTCGCAACAGATTTCCTGCATTTGTGGTTGCGAGCCTGGGATTCGGGTCAGTTTGGTGGAAAACGCCGTGTGGGTCTTGTTGGAGCCCTGGTGGGCTGGCTTGGGGCCGTCTCGAGCCGTCTCGGGCCATGTGTGGGAGCTTGGGCCCTCTAGGGACCTTACGGGGGCTACGTAGGCCCTCCTGTTGGCCTCCCGTGGCCTTTTGGGGGGCCTCCCATGGCCTTCGTGGGCTTCTCCTGGGGGCCTTGTGAAGGCCTGTTGGGCCTCTGTTTGGCTCATTTGTGGCCACCTTGGGCAGTCTTGGGGCCGTCCAGGCCGTCTAGAGGCTCTCTTGAGGGTCTCTTGGGCCGCCTTGGGGCGACACTGGAGGATTTTTCTGCTGTTTTGGGTGCAGCTAAGACCCGAACAGCGACTGTGCTGAAAATGCAGGTTTACCTGGGGATGAAGCGATGTTTGCGTTCTGGGCCTCCTTTTGAGGGCCTCCTGGGCCGTCTTGAGAGCCTCTGCAAACCCTCTGGGTCCTTCTTGGAGTACTCTTGAGCTGTCTTGGGTCTTTCCTCGGCCTCTCTGATCACTGCTCTGATCGCTTCGGGGCCTTGTGAGGGCCTGTTGGGTCCTTTTTGGCTCATGTATGGCTTCCTTGGGCAGTCTTGGGGCTATCCAGGCCGTCTAGACGCTCTCTTGGGGGTCTCTTGGGCCGTCTTGGGGCGATACTGGAGGCCGTCTTGGCTGTTTTGGACGATGCCAAGACCCGAACAGCGAACAAGCAGAAAATGCACATTTCCCTCGAATGAAGCGAGGTTTGCGTTCTGGGAGTCATGTTAAGGGCCTGCCGGGCCGTCTTGGGGGCCTCTGGAGGCCCTCTGGGTCCTTCTTGGAGCGCTCTTGTGCTGTCTTGAGTCCCTCCTGTTTGCCTCTCCTGTATGCATATGTTTACTTCCATGTATATATGTATATACAGACACACACATATATACACATATATACATATGTATACACATATGGGTAATTACGTATACATATTCACCACACGTCTATCGGCCTGACTACCTAGCATACTAAAGACAGGAAAACCAACGTGGGACACCTATGCTGCCACAGGCAAAAGAAGGGCCACCATGGCACAGACACAGGACAACTGCAAGACAACCATGGGACAACCACGGAACAACAATGGACAACTAAGAACAAGCACAGAACAACCACGGGATCAGCCACAATGGATCGGCTAGTGTGGGGAGGACGCGCAAGTAAGCAGTATTCGGGTCAGTCTTGAATCTCGACTTGGCTCATCCACCCTCATCGGCCCTAGTACTCCGCCTCGCCCTCTTCTCCTCCAACTCACCTCCCCTCTTCCCCCTCCTCCTCATCTTCAGAGAGGAGGAAGCGGCATAAACACGACCTTCCGGAGCTCCGCGCGAATTTCTTGGATCCGCGCTGGGCCCCCCACCTGGAGCGCGGAGCGCGCAGGGGCGGCGCCGGAGGAGCTGCTAAGGGGGCACAGCGCAGATTCAAGAAATCCGCGCGGAGCTCAAATCGGGGGGACGAAAATGTGGTAGGGGCAGAGGTGGGGTTAGAGGAACATCGTTCGAAACAGCCCGTCTAAGAAGAACTGCGAGTATCCCACGGGGTATGTTGCCTGACCCCACCCTGGGAGACCCCCCCCTGTACGAACCAGCGATCCAAACGCGTATGTGCGAATGGGGCCCAGGGACACACACAAATAGATAGAAGCACAACAATCCCAGGATACCCCCATATGTTCCATATGTTCTGGACGTGCGTCGTCCCCTTCACGTCCCATCTTTTCCACCTATTCCTGGGAAGCGACGCTCAATTGTGTCAGTGTACTCCAGATTTCGTAATAAAAGGGAGGGGGTCTCAACCCTCCCAGACCAAAAGTTTTAGACCCCCCCTCCGTGGGAGAACCCTCCAAAACATCGTCCCCAGACCCCCTCAGGCCCTCCAAGATAGCCTGGAACAGACCCCCCCCGAAATGAGACCCCCCTCCCTTTATTACGAAATCTGGAGCACCTATTCCTGGGAAGCGACGATCAGTTGTGTCAGTGTATGTTTTTCCACGGCAGCGGCTACGGCAGCGGCAGGGGCTCCTGCGGCTCTGGCGGCGCAGCGTTGCTCGCCTCGCTGCGGCTCTCGCTCGCCTCTGCGCGCGCCGGGGGCGGCTCTGGTGGGAGCCCACTCCCGAGGTCTGCCTGGCTTCTGCCTCCTGCGTCCTCCGCGTCTTGGGCGTGGCTTAATGGGGGGGGTCACAAATGGGGGGTCAAAAAAGGTCCCCTTTCGTGCCCCTTTCGGGCCCCTCCAGAGCCCCAGGGGGCTCGTCTAGGTACCGTTTGGGTACCTTTTCGGACCACCCGCGACACCCCCCCATTTATGACCCCCCCATTACGCGGCGCCCAAGCGTCGTAGCCCCTCTTTCTAGGAGAGGCGTCCTCCTGCTGCTGCTGCTGCTGCTGCTGCTCCTCCTCCTCCTCCTCCTCCACCTCCTCCTCCTCCTCCTCCTCCTCCCCCTCCCTGATTCCAGCTCCATTTCTCCTCCTCCTCCTCCTGCTCCTCCTCGTCCTCCTACTCCTCATCTTCTTCTTCTTCTTCTTCCTCCTCCTCCTCCTCCTCCTCCTCCTCCTCTAAGTGTCGCTCTCGCTTCGGCACCGCGCTCATGTTTCTAAAGACTTTAGCTCTCGCTTTGGCGTCGCGCACCTTCTTCGCACGCAACGTCGCCTACGCGCGAGCCGACGGAAACGTCGCTGTCGCCTCGGCGCCGTGCAGATCTCACTTGCAATTGGCGCTCCCGCCGCATATTTGTCACTCGCCATTGTTCAAAAAAATCGCGCGAGTGGGCGATTTGTCGCCCCCGCCCGAGCTCCGTGGGCATTCCGCTTGGAAGCGCACG